CATTAGGCGGAAGAATAGTGCATTTGTACCTGGCTGTGCAAAGGATGCGGGGTGTGTCTTGTGGGGAGGGGAAGGCCTTTCCTGCTCACACGAGAGCTAGCTGCAGCCATCTATAGTTAAGGCCAAAATCTACTTTTGCATACTCACAGACTGCTCAAGTCAACTTCGATGGCAGTCTTACAAGCATATGCAGGAGCAGAATTCAGCCCTAAATTCAACAGTTTTCTGTTGAACTTGAAAAACAGGGGTCAGGAGGAGATTATATAGTCAACAAAGATAAATTCCTTTCTTCCTTTCACAAAACCACACTTATTTTGGAGGATGGCCAGAATCCTTCCCCCCACAAAACAGAACTGCACCAACCCTACAGGCACCTATGGGCTTCACTTGCAGAGTTTCTCAATTAATGGACTCCCCTGGTTCCTGCCAACCACTGGGAAAAATGCAGAGTTTCTCACAAGGAACTGAAAGTGAACAAGACATTCGTTTCAAGCTTCCATATAATCTACAGCAGGTATGAAAACTGAATAGCTCTGATCAGCTGGCTGGGGGCATTATACAGTCTTGGCACTAATAACTCGAAATAGGAAATCACTTAAGATAGCTATTTACAAATCCCCACTTATGGATACTCAATGGGGAAAATCCATTAGTGAACAACACAAGATAATATTTTTAATAAATTATATATTCAAGGAGGATTAGTTGGATTATCAAATGGTATCCTATTCAAATCAGGATCATTAGTTGTGCTGGCTTCCCCAATTTCACTTTATTAAAATAATTTAAATTAAGGTTCATTAGACATAATCTAACTCCAGCACTCCAAACTTAATCCCTTCTCTTTTCACGTTACCATAGCACTAGTTTGCAAAGAAGTTTAAAGGATTATTTTTTTATTTATTTTTTTAAAAACCCACTGGTTTCTACAGAACTTACCTTTCTCCTGTCCACCCACACGTAGCGATTACCAAGTTCAAAAAACAAAGATGTACATGAATGAGAAGAATTAAAACAACAAACTTTAACTGTGGCCCAGTAGGCATCCTCCACAGACCCTTTGTCTGGATCTAACCAACTAGCTAGCTAGCTAGCAGCTCTCCAACTGAGGGACCATCTCCCAATTCCCTCAGCCTTCTGATAGGGAGCATCTCTAAATTATAACTTCTATCACTACTATCCTTTGTAGTTATTTTGCTCAGCTCTTTTATTGGTTCATTGGCTTGTTTTCCCGCTTCTCTGCATTCCCCTTCTTCACTTCCTTTTCTCTGCCTAAAATCTCCTAACTTATATTATGATCATCCTTTGTACAGGTATGCAGGAGTAGGGGAAAGCAGGCTTCCTCCTGTCTCTGCATGGACTGTACAGACACAGAGCACAATGCAGTACTGCCTTGCCATATATCTTGGTGTTTTCCTTAAAGTTCCAGCTGCCATGTGATTACACAGGAATTGCAGCTTTAAATTTACACTGTCTGAAGTGAACAGTAAACTTTTAGCTCCCAGTGATCAGGTACACCCTGATTCAAAAGCAAAAGAAGACCCACTGGTATTTTTTTCCACAGTCAGGGTTTTTGGAGCCCAAGCTCCAGTCTTTATGACTTGTGCTTGGCTGTGCTGTGAGGCCCAGCTAGTTTTGAACGTCTTGATCCTAAAGCAGCAATCCCCAAACTAGAAGTCAGGACCCTTATGTGTAGGGCCATGAGCCTGAGACTTGTTCATCAATTACCCTGCATGGGTTCAGACTGCAAGTGGGGTCATGTATGGCTCTGCCAACTGGAAGCTGGGTCACAAGCCCTGACCTGGGGCCACAGCCCCCAAAAAAGCAGACCTCTGCCCCCAAAACTTCATTTTCCTGAGGTGCTACAGACCAGGAAGTCCTACTGAAGTCAACAGGATCTGCATGGGCTCCATCAACCCTAGAAATCAGGAGCCTCCTAAGATCCTAGAAGCCTGGCACCCAAGATTAGAAGGCAAGACACTAGCCTAATGGGATGTGTCTGGAGTCATACCAGTCTGAAACAGAAAGATGAATAGGACACATATCTTCAGATATCAAATCATATGCTTGCACCAACACACCAGGCCTCCTTCTCTATATCTCTTTATAGTTCCAGGAACATATCCCAGCTAAACATCACATGCATATTCAGTAACTATTAGGTTCTTTTCCTGGACTCATCTGAGCATGTTGCAAGGATGCAAGACAGAGACTGTGAACCTACTAGTGCACGTTCTCTACCTTGGCTCTTGCAGTGCCTTGCTGTATGGCCCTGGGCAGACATTTATTTTGAACTCCAGTTTTCTCATTTTCAAGATGGCTATAACAGAAGTCAGCACACAGAGGGCTGCCATGAGGGCATCCAATACTTTGCAATCCTGGAGTGAAAGACCCTTTGAAAATTCAATTTAATACCTAAACTGAGAGAAGAGAAGGCTCCATATGATCCCTATGGTACAATTTCATAACAGCTCCAAAACAGATACTAGATGGCATTGTGTTGATAATTGCACATTAACAGATCCATATTATGTTTTTTCTTCACACCATAAAGCCAGATGAAAATACAGATTAGCAGATCTATACTATAGATAAAATTAATGCATTATGTTAATGATCTGAGACCAAATGCATCTACATGCTCCTATATAGTTTACAGCACTCTTCAAATATCACAGCAGGATTCACCACCCTATTCAGGGTAAATATAGACACCTACCAGGGGCTGAGCACTTTACAACTCCCTGTAACTCCACATACTCCAGAACTTCTGATATCCCAGGTTCTCTTCACCCCTGAATCTGCAGTGACTACCTTTTCATAATCCTATTAAATCCCTTTTCTCTGTTTACCAAGAGTCCTAATCACACACTGCAAATTCTTCTCATATAAGGAAGAACGACAGCTTTCAGATTCCTTCTGAGGCTTATTCATCAGCTACTCAAGAGTTTTGCCAGGGCGTTCAATCTATTCTTGAAGCAGCCATGTGGAAAAGGTTTCAAACAGCTCAAAGCCCTGCACAATGATAAAGGAAAGCTGAGGAGCTCACACAATCCTGGTAATAGCCTGACCCTCTCAAGGAAAATAGAATGATTTGTGGCAGCAGTTTTCCTGCCCCATGCCTAAGTTCAGTACCTCACCAAACCATTGGTAGCCTAGTCACATAGTCCCATTAAGAAAACCCATTCCTCCTATGCTGCAATAATAAATATACACAAATATGTGCAAACCAATTGCTGTCCCAATGACCTTCTCCCCAAGTCCATTAATGTGAAGGGGCTTGCATTCACAGGTGCCAACTCTGTGCGTGCTCTGGGGCTCAAGTACCCACCAAAAAAAATTAGCAGGTGCTTAGCATCCAGGAGCCACGTCGAGCAAGCTGAGTTGAAGTAATGTGCGGCCACTTCCAGGCATGTGTAGGGCTCAGCATGGGAACACACACACGAAAAAAAGCACCCACCAACAAAAGCAAAGTTGCTTGTATTCATTTCATATAGTGGAGCTGGATCACAGATGGGTTCATTTGATGCCCAATGTT